ACTCCGGTTTAAGGAATCCTGGAAGCCCCCAAGGCCCCTTCTACCTGTGGGTGTAGAGGCACCACAAAGCCACCCTCCAACCATTGGGGTGCTTTACTGAGGCTGCAGTCACCAGTAGAGGCAGGGCAGAGGTACCGATGGACTCTGAAGGTGGGGGCCCTGCAGCTCCGTTTTCGGGAGTCAAGGAAAACTGGGTTAGTCTCCCTCCCTGTGAATGACTCCAGATCTCTGGCCAGTACCCCCCACCCTCTGAGGGGAGTGGGAGAGTCTCTGAAGCCCTGTGGCAGTCTGGTCTGGGTCCAAGCCAGCTAGGCTGAGGGCTATAGGCACCTGTAACCCTAGCTTTTGTCACCTGCCAGTGGGCTCCTTCTTTTTCCTTTCAGAGTAGACATAGAGCAAAATCTGAAACACAGTTTCAAAACAACACATAGGTAGAGGCACTCTCTTGCACCAATGGGTTCACTGGTGCCTTGCAGAGGCATGCTGCTTTGTCTCTGGCTGAAGCACACAGCAGACCCAATTAATCCTTCCTGGGCAGCAAAGACTAAACAGTAGATAATGTTTCAAAGAGGTCTGTGGGAGAGTCTGTCAGAAAGAGAGCTGCAGAAACCGTGGGAGACACACCCATTCCCCCTCGGACCCTTATCATATCAATGAAAGCACTTCTAGCAGAGCAGATTTCACAGGTTTATCAGCAAGTCTTTGTGATGCCAGATTTTCCCCCAGGACACACTCGAGCAAGGCATGGGGCTGCACCTCTCCCCAGCAGGCATTCAGGCCCAAGGGGACGGGAGCCAGGAAACGCCCCCCCCCCCCCCAGAATACCTGGGGACCCAGGGCTTTGTCAAAGCCAGGGGGTGAGAGTCCATTGCTCCCCATTGCAGTCCTCCAGAGTCCCTCCATGAAGGCCTCCCAGGTGATCCGAGTCTGGCCTAGGGTCCCCCTCGAGGTGAGGGGGTCCCACCCACCACTGACTTCCGACCAAGGTCTGGGGGCAGGGAGAGGAACCCGAGGCAGCACCTGCCACCAGGGACAAGCCCCGTCTCCTGCTGCCGGCATTCTAGAGGTTGTCTCTTGCCCTTAGCCCCAACAGGTAGAGGTACAATTCCTGAAATCAGGCAGAGCAGTCAGCAATATCTCCCTATTCTTGTTTATAAAATTAAATCGAGGACTTCCGCCAAGATGGAGACGTAGGTGGAACCACCTTGCTTCTGTGCACAACCAAATCTAAGAACAACTATTTTTAACAATAATAAACACAACCAAACCACACAGAATATCAACAATACGGAGTCCAAAAACAACAAAATGCTCAGCTAAACCGGTAAGAGGGCGAAGCCAGCAGGGGAGCAGGGTGGCCAAAAAAATCCCCAACCGGGTGGTGCGCAAGCAGCCCAAGGCTCGGATCGCGGGCTAGCTGTGGGCTCACACAGGGAAGAGGCCCAGGTGGCTGTCTGCGGTAAGTCGCGCATCTGCTTGCAGATAAACAAGTGAAGAGGCGAGCATTGAGACTGCACGGCACGGGACTGCAGGCTCGCACAATTCCAATTGGATAAACAGGCCAGGGTGAGTGGTGGGACAGGACGGACTGGGCTAGCGGAGAGGACCACCATTGCTCCCTCTCTGACCACGCCTACACACACAGCGTCACAAACCAGCGACCTGGGTGGCCCCGCCCTGGTAAACAACTAAGGCTTCGCTCTGCTTACTTAACAGCATGAACAGACCAAAAATGGCTAAAGAACAACTCAGGGCCCCAGAGCCGATCAATCTAAGCGATGAAGAAATAGCCAAACTTTCAGATGCACAGTTCAAAACACTGGTTATCAGGATCCTCACAGAACTGGTTGATTTCAGTCAGTCACAAATTAGAGAAACATATGGAAGCTAAACTAATTGAAATGAATGGTAGTGCAAAGGAAACCAATAGTAATGGAAAAGAGATTGGGACTCAAATCAGTGGAGTGGACCAGAAGGAAGAAAAAGATGATCAAACAGAAAACAATGAAGAAACAAGAATTCAAAAAAATGAGGAGAGGCTTAGGAACCTCCAGGACATCTTTAAACATTCAAACATCAGAATTATAGGGGTGCCAGAAGGGGAAGAGTCATGAGGGGAAACCTTATTTGAACAAATAATAAAAGAGAACTTCCCCATTCTGGCAGAGGAAATAGACTTCCAGGAAATCCAGGAAGCTCAGAGTCCCAAAGAAGTTGGACCCAAGAAGAAACACACCAAGGCACATCATCATTACATTAGCCAAGATTCAAATGAAGGAGGGAATCCCAGAAGCAGCAAGAGATAAGGGGACAGTCACCTACAAAGGAGTTCCCATCAGACTGTCAGCAGATTTCTCAAAAGAGACCTTACAGGCAAGAAGGGGCTGGAAAGAAGTATTCCAAGTCATGAAAACCAAAGACCTACAACCAAGATTGCTCTATCCAGCAAAGCTTTCATTTAGAATGGAAGGGCAGATAAAGTGCTTCTCAGATAAGATCAATTTCAAGGAGTTCATCATCACCAAGCCCTTATTATATGAAATGTTAAAGGGACTTACCTAAGAAAAAGAAGATGAAAAAGATGAACAGTGAAAGGACAGCAAAGTCACAGTTATTAACAACCACACCTAAAACAAAAGCAAACTAAGAGGACAGCTAGATCAGGAGCAGAACCATAGAAATGGAGATCACATGGAGGCTTAACAACAGGGGAGTGGGAGGAGGAGAACGGGGGAGAAGGTACAGAAAATAAGTAGCATAGATGGTAGATAGAAAATAGGGGGAGGGTAAGAATAGTAGGGGAAATACAGAATCTAAAGAATTTGAGACACGTGTTCGTGAACTAAAGTGGGAAATGGTGGGGGAGGGGTATGCAGGTGGGAGGGAATAGAAAATGTAATGGCATAATCAATAAAAAAGTTTAAAAAAGATAAAAAATGAAAAAAATTTAAATTGAAATAGGCCTGTGAAATCTGCTATTTGCTATTCTCGAATGCAATTACAAGAAACAACTTCTATATACATCATAGAGTACAAACAAGAATTAAAACTAGGCATTCCGGGGTTGTTATAACTCAAACTCTTAAATTCAGTCAGTTGAAAAATGATATAAACACATGGGATAGACAAAAGTAACAGGTCTGGTTACATTTCAATTTTGGGAAGAATTAGCACAGACTTTACAAAGTTACTTTAAAGATATGCAGCAAGGGCTAGTATCTGAACTCAGGGTGAGACAGTTCAGCATGAAGAATCTGAAAAAAAAAAAACAAACAAAAAAACAAAAAAAAAACCTCCTGCTTGGTTAAGTGTTAAATGTCCTGCAGCATTAATTTAGTCCCTTTAAGTTGGTAGGAAAAGTCTCTCTTAGGTGACCACTCCAGGGGTGTTGGTTGTAATTCCACACAGCTTGGAGAAATCTGGATCAGGAGTGTCTATGTGTGGAGATCCGTCACCCGTTGGGAAAGCCTTTTCTGTGACATGGCTTGACTCTCATCGCCTGCAGTTCTAAAGGTCATTCTGAAAAGCAAACAGCATACCCTCTTCTCCAAGTTAAGAGTTAAAATGGCCAATAAAATTAAACCTGGGGGAAAGGCTCAAGATTCTTTTAAAAGTATGATGAGCCCATTTTACAATTGCCAGACCAGTTGGATTGTAAGGTCTTTATTGGCAAATATCTTAGAACTCAAAATTCCTCACACCATAAGATGGGGCACTAGAAAACTGACTTCAATGCTACCAACCCCACCCACTAGCTGAAATCTTACCTGTTGCTAGGAAACAGCTAGTGCAGCACTGCTGCTCTTTGGTGGTAGCCCTGCGGCCGTGAAGGCCAGGGGGTCCTGACGCGGCTTCTTTACTCTCACCTCTGTGACTCTACTCCTCTTCTCCCTCCCTCTCGGGCATATTGTAACCCCTCGCGGCAGTGGGTCACCAGCGGGGACACGCATTCACCAGGGCGCAATGCGGCAGGGTGGGTGGGTCTGCAGTGCAGCGGGCGTAGAGGAGGGCACTCCCAGAGAAGACCGCAGCCTCGCCCTGCAGGGCAACCTCCCGCTCTAGGCCCGACAGCGCGACCAGCCGGTGCGCACTGGGGACAGTCCGTCCTGGCCCCAGCAGCTGGGCCTCTGGGGCCTGTCTCCGGGGCTGGGGAGGGGGAGTGGGAGAACGGTGGGGCGGGGAGGCCCGGCACTTGGGCAATCCCAATTGTCTGGGCACTTGATCTGAGGAGATAGCCCTGCTCCCGGCAGTGCCCAGCCCCCACCTCTTGATGCTGATCAGGGGGAAAGAGACAGGGGTGGAGCAGCCCATGCCCCGGGTGCACGCGCTTTTCTAATCAAAAAAATTCTTTTCTGAGTTTCAGGTTTACTTATACAGCTGAGAGGGCTCGGAGTGTTGGATATGCGCTTACCCGCCAAACTCCAAGATTGGGTGGGGACACACAAAGGGCAGGGGCACATTCACTCACACTTTCACTCTCAAGCACTCTGAATTTAAACAATCCCTCTCACCTAATTCCTGGTGGCTGGACTAGAACCAGCCAAATTCTCTGGCTGTTGAACTCGGACCAAATCAGCCGCTGGTGGCTGAACTCAGTATGAATTCGACCCAGAGCCCTACCCGAGTGAGGGCCAGGTGGTTGGGCTCAGCATGAACCCAACCAAGATTTCTGATTTGGGTGATCAAGCCTCTGTCCAGTCTCGGGTCAGGTCCCCGAGGCTCTTACCAATTTGGCGCCTTTACCAATTTGGCGTCCCTGGTCTCAGGTCAGGTCGTAGTCCAAAACCCTCGCTTCCCGTCTGGAGTGCAGGCTGGTGGTCGTGAATCCCAATCAGACGGGGTCTGAGAAATCTCAGGGCACATGCAACCCCCGTTTCTCCAGTTGGAACTCCAGCCATCGCTCACTTATCCAGCTGGAGGCAAGTCAACCCGAATTTGTGAAAGGTCGCTTGCACCAAATGTTGCAGGAAAATGAAGCAACCAGACACTGAGGGTTTCTGGAGTAAGAGGTTTTATTAACATGAACGGGCCCAGAGGAGTCAGTGTCCAAATTCTGAGCCCTGAACAAAGGATTCTTGGGGTTTTTTATAGTTTCCAGGGTCTTCTTGTCTACGTAGCAAAGTGGGATACAGAAGCAGAATGTGGAAGTTAGTTCTAGCTATGGGGCAGAAGCAGAGAACAAAGGCTAAATTCGAAGGTCCGTTTTTAACAGCAGGGGTGTTTTAATCTCAGTCCTAGCTAATGCACTGTTGTTTACTTAACCTAGACAGCCCCATCATTCTCCCTAGGGTGCCTGGGCAAATAAAGGTTAAACAGAGATGCTTCAAAGTTTCCCATATCACGGGCAGGATCTCTCGTTAATCCAGTCATGTGGCACCCTCTCACAGTCCACTGGCAAGAGTTCTGTGTACCAAGTTCCAGTCAAAGTCTCTCCTGCTTTCCAGACCACGGGCCCAAGGGGGGGCACCCCAAAGCCGCGTGGGCCTCTTCTACCAAAGCTGCAGGGGTCCACACTCCACCAAAAGCACGTGGCTTTCTTCTTCACCTGGCTGCAGGGATCTTCATTCTGGCAAAGCTGCATGGTTTTCCCTTTCACCTTGGGAAAGAGGAGGTCCACACTCTGCCAAAACCACATGGCTCCCTCTTTCACCTGGCCAAGACGGGGTCCTCACTCTGCCCCAAACCACATGGCTCTCCCCTCACCTGGGCAGTTATCCCCTCATCTTCTGGAGCCCATCTTTTCTAAGCTCTCACACAGGTGCTGTCCCTCAGGGGCACAGCCCCTAGTTACATCCTGGGTGGAAGCCACTCCCTTCTCCCTGACTCAAAACTTGGCCACAGTTATTTAACATTATCTATGAAACCAGTTAAAGGTTATAGATATGTTAAATAATCATTCCAGAGGTTAGCTGCAAAACTGTTGCTATGCAAAACAGCTCTCAATGGCCCTGGCTCTATTTGTTCCTTCCCCCAACTCATACCTGTGGGGGAAGGGGTGAGGACATCTTATATGTCTCTCCAATATTCTTATACACTTAGAATTTTGGTAAAATTCCAAAATCTGTTTTTGGACCCCCCCCTCACTGCACCCTGTATCAATATTCCTCCTTTCAGATTTACACCCACTTTATAATCATATAAAGGAAAATGGACGAAGGTCTCATCTTGTAACTATTTCCGGCTGGACATGGACATTGTCCTACCTACCCCTGGGTCAGGGGTGCCCTGAAAGCGGGGGTGCAGCATGGAGAGAGCCCTTCCTATAAGGGGAAAGACCTTACAGGGTCCTGGTCCGTTGGCTGTCACCTGGACGTCACAGTCTTGGTGTCCAAAGGCTGGCATTACTGGGCCGTTGGCATTCTGGTCAGGTCATATTCTGGAGGTGACAGATTAGGCAAGAAATTGGAAGCACAATTAAATCATAACCATTAAATGACAAAGGCAGGGAATTCAGTAAAGAATGGCTTATCTGGAGGAAGGTGTACAAGGCATGCTACACCTATCTAAAAACTTTGTGCTTCACTGTACTTCACTCAGGCTGAGGGGAATACATTAGGATTTCCCTCCTTCTAGATTTCTGAGCCCTTTCTGTCCAAGCTATCAAGGCAGAAAAGGGAAAATCAGTTCTAAAGTGAAGCCCACAGACTGCCCCAGCTCTTCACCAACCCAACTACTTAGTTCAGCCAAACCATTGAATCTCAGGGGGGCGATGACGAAGATGGGCTCCTTAAGTGAGGTCTATATTGCAGCACATAGGCATAGGCAGGTTATAGGCATACACCCTACGAAAACAGAAGAACACAGATTAATTCACACAATCCCCAAACCAGTCTCTGCACCTGTGAGACTGTCTTTTGGGAAGACATTCCATTGCAAGGTCCTCTGCACCTGTAAATTGTTTATCTTCGGTGACATCACAAACCTGGTTTCAATTCTTTAATGAAAACAAACTTTCAAGATAGTTAGCTGGGCCATTCTGATGTCCAATACTGAGCATTGTGATTTTTCCTTGAACTAGTCTTTCTCCTTAAGATCACCCTCACTGTTATTACAGGGACTACTTTGGGTCCTGCTTTTGATTTTGACTTCATTTGCATAAACACATCAAGATCGGCCTGGATCACTTATGATCCTTAAGTCTACTTTGCTGGAACTCACACAGGGAACCCTTAGATTGACTTCTCAGTCCACCCCTTGGGGCACAGAAGCAGAGCCATGAGGTTTCAACAGGGTTAAGAGCTCCTCTTGCTGAGGTGAAGAGGAGAGAGAGCCACCCGGTCTCAGCTGAGTTAAGACCCCCTCTTCCCGAGGTGAAGAGGGGGGGAACCATGTGGCTTTGGCTAGAGTGCAGACCTCTGAAGCCAGATGAATGGGAGAGCCACGCGGTTTCGGCAGAGTAAGGATCCCCTCTTGGCCAGGTGAAGAGAGCCATGTGTTTCAGCAGAGTGAAAGAGTACCACTCAGCTTTGCCAGAATGGGGACCCCTCCAGGCAGGTGAAGAAGAAAGCTACGCAGTTTTGGTCAGAGTGCTGGCCCCTGCAGCTTTGGTAGAAGAGGCCCATGCAGCTTTGGAGTACCCCCTTTGGCCGTGTGGCCTGGAAAGCAGGAGAGACTTTGCCTAGAACTGGGTACACAGAACTCTTGCCAGTAGACTGTGAGAGGGTACTTACTACATGACTTTGGATTAACTAGAGAGAGATCCTGCCTGCACAGTGACACAGCTGACCGTGCCAGTAGCCTGAAACACATACGTGTGCTCTTTTCCTGATTTACGGTACCCAGAGTTGGGACAGTGGGAGAAGGGAGTGCTGTGTGGGTGTAGGTGTATACCCTAAAAGACTTTGATATTTTAGTAGAGGCATTAAGCCTAAACAGCATTAAATAAACATTTCACTTCCTTTTCACAAATCTCTGGCATTGAGAGATGTCTTTCCAATTGGCAGCGGACAGAAGGGCCCAGTAGATATTAGTATTCTGTCCTTGGGAGGGACCCCTGTTCTGTAGCAGTTTTTGGAATCCCTAGGTGGGCCAAATATTGCCCCCCCACTGACCTCTTGTTCGGGAACAGTACCACTTTTGAAAAGCAGTGATCAGCTTGCTACAGAACTTTTATAAAAAATGATAACTTATCTATGTAGATCTTTTGAATCTCTGGCCTGATATTCCCGTTTTTGGGTGGTTCAACTCAGACTCTGTGACTGACGATATGTAAGGGCTCACAAAACCTTGCTTGTCAAATGAAAATAGGCATCTAGGCTTTACATGAAAAAGTGGCAGCTATCTCTCTGGGGAAACTTTTGCCTCTCACTCAGCCATTTCAAGCATTCTAATAGCTCATTGGGGGCCTCATTCACAGATTCCCCTAAATCCTGAGCCTGGTTGGGCTAAGCTAAAACTTGGTTTCATTGGACTGCAGCAGCTGTTCAACCTCAGTGTCAGCTTTGCAATACTGAAAACAGACATGGCACCTCTACTCAGAGTAAAGAACTCAAGGGTCTTCTCAGAGATTTGGTTAATATCTGCCTCGATGAACCTTGCTATGTGTTTACTGACTCTTGGGCTTTTGCTAGTGACCTCACTATTTGATCTGCTGCTTAAAAAAATTAGACTAGCTGATTAAAGACAATTGTCTCAGGGTGTGAACTGTGGAAACAAATTACAGCTATTGACTAAACTTTCTGGGCCTTCATGAAGGTGCCCAAAGGAAAGACCCATGAGACTGACTGGAATCAAGCTGCTACTAGGCTGCACTGTCCTAGTTGCTCAAGTCTTGTCTGGATCTATTGTCACATCCTACAGAACAACACTTCCATCATCACAGAAAAAAAAAAAGCGAAGGGCTCTGTTACTGTAGAGGTTGCTGTTGCACTGCAGACTTGTGACTCCTGTCGAAAGTCAGTTTGGTCTCTTCTGGCAACTGACCATTGACCCCCCTCCCCACAAAGCTATTTATTGTTGGTGCCTCATCACTTATTCAGGTTACAGTGCTATTGTTTCAGTCAGTCCAGTCAGCCAACAGCAGTTACACTCTTGAGGCCCCTACAACTAATGTGTCATGTGTTTCGTTTTCTGGAAAATTTGCAATGAGACCACAGTACACCTTTTATCAAACCAGCTATTTAGCACTGGAGTGATAAGGTATTCAATGGTCCTTCTATACTCCCTGCCATCTGCATTTGGTATGTTAAGCATTGAAATAACCTCCATAAAGATCAACTCAAAACTGCTTATGACCACAAGGTCTGCATACCTCACAAAGGCAGTTGGTCACTAAATGTGACTATCCCCAGGAAGAAATCAGCTCTTCTAAAGACTTATGTTCACACAAAAACCTGTGCATGAATGTTTATAATGGCTCTGTAATGGCCTGCCCAGGAGGAAAGCTAGCTGCTGAATCAATAGGATGAATGTAATGGCTAATAGCCTGCCCAGGAGGGAGCTTGCAGCTGAGTCAACAGGATCAGGGAGAGCAAGTAACTAACTAGGAAGTAAGAACAAAGAATTTCATATTAACTCCTATCAGCAGTTCCGCTTTCTTGCTTCTATAAGCTGCTTCCTGCTTTCATGCCAGAAGTAAGGTCCAAGTGACAGACTGCCCCCTCACCCTATATAAGCAATTGTTCCCCACTGATTGGGTCCCAGAATTTGGATACTGAGTCCTCTGGGTCCATATGCATAAATAAAGTTCCACTCCGTACACCCAAAAGCGGCTGAGTTGTTTTCTGTAACAGCTCTATTCATAATAACCCCAAACTGGACACAAACCTGAATGTGCTGCAATCGGTAAACAAATAACAAATGATGGTACAGTACCTCCATACAAGGAATGGTACTTAGCAATACAAAGGAATAAATTTATTTAATTTATTTATTATTGTTCAATTACAGTTGTCCCACATTTCTCCCTGTTGCCCTCTCCTGCCCCATCCACACCTGTAACTTGGGTGAATCTTAAAGGCATTTTGCTGAGGAAAAGAAGTTAGTTTCAGCCCTGGCTGGTGTGACTCAGTGGATTGAGTGCCTTTGATCCTGCACATCAAAGGGCCAACAGTTTGAGTCCCAGTCAGGGCACATGCCTGGGTTGCAGGCCAGGTCCCCAGTTGGGGGCATGTGCAAAAGGCAAACCACACACTGATATATGTCTCTTTTTCTCCCTCCCTTCCCCTTTCTCTAAAAATATATAAATAAATCTTAAAACAAAATAAGTTAGTTTCAAGAGGCAACATACTATATATTTCCATTTATATGAATTCATGAAATGATAAAACTACAGTGACAAATAAAAGATAGTGGTTGTCACTGACTAGGGATAAGAGGAGTGTCTGGCTGCAATGGAGGGGTATGAAGGAGTGTTCTGCAGTTAATAAAACTGTTCTGAAGCCTGATTATGGCAGTGGTTACATGAATTTGTATATGTATTAAAATTCAAAGAACTCTATGCCAGGAAAAAAGTCAATTTTTAGTTCTTTAAAAAATTGGTATCTAATTGACATATAACATTAGTTATAGCTGTGAAACATAATGATTCAATATTTGTATATATTGGGAAATGATCACTGAAAGGAAAAAGCCAGCCCCACTTATTATTGTAACACCACTTACCTAGCAGACCTATTGTTACTGAACAGAGGTCCGAGGCAGGGGGTAATATTTGGCCCACCTAGGGACGCCAAAAACTGTTACAGAACAACAGAGGCCCCTCCCAAGGATGGAATACTAATATCTACTGGGCTCTTCTGTCTGCCGCCAATTGGAAAGACATGTCTCAATGCCAGAGATTTGTGAAAAGGAAACAAAATGTTTATATAATGCTATGTAGGCCTAATGTCTCCACTAAATTAGGGTATACACCTACACACACACACACACACACAGCTTTCCGTTCTCCCATGTCCCAACTCTGGGTACCGTAAATCAGGAAACGAGCACACGTCTGTGTTTCAGGCTGCTGGCACGGTCAGCTGTGTCACCGTGCAGGCAGGATCTCTCTCTAGTTAATCCAAAGTATTGTGGTACCCTCTCATGGTCCACTGGCAAGAGTTCTTTGTACCAAATTCCAGTCAAAGTCTCTCCTGCTTTCCAGGCCACATGGCCAAAGGGGGCACCCCAAAGCCGCCTGGGCCTCTTCTACCAAAGCTGCAGGTGTCCTCACTCCACCAAAAGCATGTGACTTTCTTCTTCACCCGGTTGCATGGAGTTCCATTCTGGCAAAGCTGCATGGTTTTTCCTTTCACCTGGGAAAGAGGGAGTCTGCACTCTGCCAAAACCACATGGCTCTCTCTTCACCTCGCCAAGAGGGGATCTGCATTCTTCCAAAACCACGTGGCTCTCCCCCTTCACCTGGGCAAGAGGGGGGCCTCACTCTGCCCAAAACCGCCTGACTCTCCAATGGCTGCGGAGTCTGGGTTTAAATTTCTGCGCCCATCCTCCTTTGCAGCCCCATTTCCAACTCCTCCTACAATCAGTTACATCTGCCAGGACTCTCATACCCTCCCAGCTTTACTAGGATGCCATCATTAGTCTGGGCAGATATGCCCCCCCCCCCCATGGCGTGGAGCCAATCAATTCCAAGCTTTCTCGCATGCGCTGTGACTCAGGGGCCCAGCCCCTAGTTAAATCTTGGGTAGAAGCCTCCCTTCTTCCTGCCTCAAAGCATGGCCACAGCTATTTAACATATCTATGAAACCAGTTAAAGGTTATTGATCATTCCAGAGGTTAGCTGCAAAACTGTTGCTATGCAAAACAGCTCTCAGTGGCCCTGGCTCCATTTGTGCCTGGGGCAGGGGATGGGGGGACACATCTTAATATTTCCTGGATACCCTGAGCTCTGGACCCCAAATCCTTTTCTGGGGCCCCCCTCTTGGTTGCACCCTGTTACACTATGACCTTGTTAAACTTGACTGTTATTTTACTCTTCTGAGTTTATGTCCCTAGGACTGGAAATTATTGGAAGCAAGAATAGAACTTACTGCTCCCTACAGCTCACAGGCAGAGGATAACAATGGAACAAACTACAGCCTTGTCCTACAACACCCTAACAGCCCCAGGGCCACCCAACAGCAAGCCTCTCACCCTTTTTTAATCCAATTATAGTCCAATAAAACCTCAAAGCCCTCACTCGTCAAGGCTGGTGTAGCTCTCCATACCATGTCCCTCTCTTTTCTCAGAGTGAATAAAAACTTTATTCTCTACACTTTCTTCTCTTTGTGAATTCTTTCACAGACTGCTTCACTGACCACCTTAACAAACACCACAATAAGTCTAGTCAGTATCACTTGTGACACAAAAATCTTTTTCTTGTGATAAGAACTTTTAAAATCTACTCAGCAATTTTCAAATATTCAATTCATTATTAACTATAGTCACCATGCTGTGCATTACATCTCTATGATTCATTATTTTATAACTGGAAGTTTGACCCCCTTCACCAGTTTTGCTCCCCACTCCTAACTCTTCTGGCAACCATCAATCTGCTGCTCTCTGTATCAATGAGCTCAATTGTTTGGCTTTGTTTGGACAAAATATCAAAAATGTTGATTTTATAAAAGGCAAAAAAAGGCTGCGAAAATGTTTCATATTGAATAAGAAATGGAATAAAAACATGCCTAAAGACATGTGAAAATTAATGCAATATCTGATCTTACACTGGATACCATATTGGGAAAAAAATGCTGTACAGTCCTTTATATTAATAGATACAACCAAATATCCCTGCTAACTCCAAACCTCAAATAATTGACTAGTAATGTGTAATACTAATGGGGGACTCAAATGTTGGTAAAATCTTAGTTTCAGGTAATAGTTAATAAACTTAGTATGTAAAAAGCTATGGTTTTAGGCACTGAGGGTGTGACCCACCTTGACTTCAGGAGACCATAAGCAGTTCCACCTTTGTGCCTCAGTAGAACTGCAATCAGGATGATATCCGAGCCGTTGTATTCATGGTGAGATACCCACCGTCCAGGACTCAGATGCAAGAATGCTACAGATTTTTATGTGATTAACTTTTTCCCTGTATTCCAAACCCTTTACCTAAACTTTCCTTCTCCTTATAAAAAGGGTCGGATTAAAATAGAATTTAAGATGATCTGCTAGGGTACACAACCCGTCATCTTCTCAGATGGGGCCAGCCATCTGAATAAAGGACCCATAAACATTCAATACCTGTCTCTGCTTTTTGGGTTTGGTAGGTGACAGGCCGCCTTTTCTGGTTTCAATACCGTTACAACAATTGCACACCCCTGTGTGCAATTGGCTAACTGGCTCACTCGTACTGTAGAGCAGGTCCCAAGCTTCTTTCCTCCCCGGCTGGGCTCTGCCTTGCACTCCTCCCTTCCACACCAGGGCCACGCCCTTCTGGGGGCGGAGCCTGACTGGACGGCGAATAACTTGCCGCTGCAGGCGGAAGCGGAAGCCCGCTGGCGGTAGCCATGGAGATGCGGGAGACGGTGCCACCGAGGAACGATCACCTTTGACCTCCAATTGGGGCCACGTCAGAATCTGCCACAGACACAAATTAGTAGGTGGCGTCCTCTCTGCGGGCCACCGAGCTGCCCGGCGGTGGACCACGAGACTACAGTGGGCTAGACGCCATGGAGGTAACGCAGCTGGTAGCAGCGGTGGATTGGGGTTGAGGCCCACCATCTTTCCGGCGAGTCTTCCAGCACCCTGGTTAGACGTGGGTGCAGGCCTTGTTCATGGCTCAGCAACGTCCCCGCAGCCTCTCGCTGCCCGGTCTCTCCCACCTTCCCCAAATTCTGTCCTTCACCATTACCGGCCCCTCAGAGCCACTTATATACGCTTTGCCTCAGTGACAGACGGTTCCTACCCCCATTTCTCTTTCGAACGTTAAAGGTTTCCTCCACTTGATCACACGGAAGGTTTTTTTGTTTTTTTTTAATCTCTGAAGGTTCTGCGTTCTGCTCAGGATTAGGAAAAGAGTTCTTCTGACGACCTGGATTGGATTTTGTTTTGCAGGATCGTGTTCAAGATGGGGTGTCTTCTACAGCAACCTCTGGAACCGGGAAGTCTAAGGTGAAGCAAATACGTGACTAGCAGGCTCCCGAAGAGTGGAAGGGCGATGAATTGGAAAACTTTGGCATAGGGAGAGTTGTGACCTATTTAAAAAATAGCCTTTCTCCAAGGAATCTTACTTTTAATTTATAGTCATCCATTTATTTCCTTTTTAAGTTTTCTGCTATGAAGAAAAGCTTGTCGTTTTGTTTACCTCCTGTTGCTAGTTAGCACAGCTGATTCTGCAATTTTTCAGGCATTAAACCAGTTTTATTTATGAGGATTTATATAGTGTAGTGGAAAGTGCATAGACATGGTAGGTAGGAGTCAAGGGACTCTATCCTGAAGGCTTCGCTCTCATGCGGTGAAGAAAGAGAAAATTGAATCGGGTAGATTTTATGGCCCTGCACAGCAGTTTACCATTCAATAATTCTCAAAGATCGTGGTGTATTGCTTGCATATCAAGTTTCAGGTACTTGCCTAAACACTCAGTTACTTCATTTCAGCTTCAAGGTAACCATGAGATAACTACTATTGTTATCCCAATTTTATAGGTGAGAAAACAACCAACAAGTTAAGTATTTTACCTGATTTATTTTATTTAGGCTAAAGCCTAAAAGCAATGTGATTCATCTTGTTGCTGTAAGAATTATGCTTGCTTGTTTACATGAAGCCAAAGACTTGCCTTGGATAGAATGAAATAATCATACAGCTCTAAAGAACTTTAAGTAGAAGTAGTCTCAGTACCCCACTTTTTCAGTTAACGAAATCAAAACCTAGATAGTGTCTTAACCTCTAACAAAAATATCTGTAAGAGGATATGTACTATTTTTTACATTTTCTAGTAGTTGCTTAATAATTGAAGTTGCATTTGCTCATTTTTAAAAATGTGTTTGGTTGACATAAAGATTTATTCAATAGGATTTTTATTTTTTGGCAGATGTGATGTTTATTTTTTGTAATATAGTAGGAATATGAGTTACAACAAATTGGTAACATCACTACATCTTTCAGCTGGAAACATTGCCCAAGGAAGAGCTTATCAAGTTTGCCAAGAAGCAGGTGATACTAATACAGAAAGCTAATTCACGATGTACAGGTATTGGGTTGAAAATATTTATCTTGACCACAATGTTATTTAATCATGATTAAAAGTTAGTTTTTAAATAATACATTGACTTGTTTACCAGTGAATCCACTAAAATCTTAGTGTAGTAGAATCTGTTATTATTTAGCATTCTAACTATTTGCTTCTGAATTATTAAAGTCAGGGAGGAGGATTTTTAAAAACAATTTGTTAAAATGAAACACATTTTTTACTTCATTTAGATTGTATATTCTTCTGAATCAAGCATTTTTTCTAGACTAGTCAACTGAGATATTAGGAGACATAAGGTTGTGAGCCACAGAACTAAAAAGAGGCCTAAGTAAAGTAATAAAAGATTTCCATTTCTAGGATTTTTAGTTATATTTATTTGCTGAAGTTGACTGATTACCTATTTAGTTTCCCTTTGTTTATATTCCAAAAGGATGAAGATAATTAGTATCCTTTTTAGTATGTGTGGCTTAGTGTTTGAATTTCCAGTGACTTAATAGATGTTAACTGCCCATCCTAAAAGCCAGGACTTATTTTGTCCTTGAAAGGTCAAATTATGTTTTGGAAGGTTGGATCAGTTTGTAATGGAGTAATTTATTTGGAAAGGCGTTCTAGGCCCCAAACTTAGACATGAGTTGATGAAATAAGTGAGGTGAGTTGTTGCATTAAGATTTTACAATAAGAAATTGCTTACAGCCCTGGCTGGGTGGCTCAGTTGATTGGAGTACTGTCCCATACCCCCAAAGGTTGTGGGCTTGATCCCTGTTTGGGGCACATATGGGAAGCAACCAGTAGATGTTTCTCTTTCACAACAATGTTTCTCTCTTTCACTCTCCCTTCCTCTCTCTAAAATTAATGAACATATCCTTAGGTGAGGATTAAATAAAAAAAAAAATGGCCCTGGCTAGTGTGGCTTAGTTGATTTCAGAGTAGTCCCATAAACCAAGATTGTGGTTTCAGTTCCCAGTCAGGGCACATGCAAGAAGGTAACTAATTTATTGCTTCTCTCTCCCCCGCCAATCCCCTCTCTCTAAAAGCACTGGAAAAAAAAAGTGTCCTTGAGTAATAATTAAAAAAAAATTTTAATGTTGCTTACAACTGAAATAATATAATGTCTGGGATTTACTTCAAAATTTAATGGAAAGGAGAAAGTGAGTACAGGTCAGGATGAAATAAGACCAGCCTTGTAATAATTGCTAAATCAGGGTGATGTGTTCATGAAGACTAATCATACTATTATCTTTTATTTGTTTGGAATTTTCCATAATAAAAAGGAAAATGAAAGGCAGTACTGAGGAAAGTTAATATTTTCATAAAATACCTGCTTTTGCAGGTATTTACTTCTTAAATGTATTATAATTTATAGTGATTTTTTAAAAGAATGTACTTAATGTTTTAGCCAGTTTTTTTCATTTCTGAAATGGAATATTTTCTTTTAAATAATTGTCTAGAATTAGAGAAAGAAATTGAAGAACTCAAATCAAATTCTGTTGCTGGAGGAACTGATGAAATTATTAAGGTAATGAAACAGTTGTGAACATTGCTGTAATTTTTATTTATTTACTTAGAGGAAATGTCTAATGATAAATTTCCTAGAGGGCTGTCAGCCTCCTAGAGTGCTATCTAGCTTTTTGTCCCTGTTTTTTTTTTACTTTCTCTCTGCTCTTCAGTAAGTTTTTAATCACTCTGTTTAACTGTAAAAAGAGAGGGTTAAATTCCCTCAAGGCCTTCTGTTCTGCAGTGAGATTTATTCTCTCTCCTTTTGATCCAACACACTCAGTAATTATGGCTGTTGCCTCGGTGTCAGCCCTGCTCCTCCCTCTCCCTCTCAGAAAACTCAGTGATGCTCAGGACATGATGATTTAGGGGCTCACTAATACATACATTTAATCTATAGATGGATAGTTATCTCTGGACATGAATACTGACCCAAATCTCACAGTTGAATTTCTAGCTATTTGGGGAAAAAATATTTACCCATTATATTTGTCTTCTCCTCGACATGACCAAATCCCCTTCCCTAGACATCAGACACAGCACTATTTTTCAGGCCTGTAACATGAGAGACTTCAGCCTTCCTGTCTCCTTTATCATCTGCATGTGTTATTCATTCACCAGAGATCTACTGTTTTCTCAAGATAATGCTGCATTTTATCCTCATCTCTATTCCCTGGCTCTATGTGAAACACCTCACATCATGTATGACTTATTTTAACATTAAACCTCAGCTAGGCTTTCTTTCTCTTTTTTTCTCTTATATCCAATTACCAGATCACAGAATATTATTTTGTCTCATTTTTCTGTTTAAGAACCTGAGTTGCTTATTTTTACATGCCCTTAATTCTAACTGAATGCTTTTTCCTTCCTCCCCTTGGCCTAACCTTATTGAAAGTTTTTTGCTTCTCAGAGCTCTGCAATAATTTTTTTCTTGCTTGTTCATATTTATAATTTTAGTTTTTTGATCTGTTCTTTTATTATATATTATCTTACACTCTTATCAGGTGCCTCTAAACTTACAATTGAAGGACTCAGGAAGTTACTACAGGGGATCTCAAATCCCTGTGCATATCATTTATTATTATTTTGTTGTTTTGTTTTTTTTTAAGCTAAAATAGTACATGAAGCATGAATGGTATGCACAGATACTATTTGGATTCATAATGAATTGGTTTATTTAAGCATTACTGAATTCACAGTAGTTTTCTTTGTTTATTGGGTCATTTTGTATTTTCTTGATCAGCTGTAGCCAAAGTACAACTACATGAGATTTAACTAAATACTGACTCTGGAGCCAGATTTCATGTCAGATCTTCAGATCCCTGCTCTGCTACCTACCAGTTATGTGACTAAGGCTAAGTTTCCTCATTCTCTGTGACTCAGTTTTTTCATCTGTATAGTAGAAAGAACAGTTCCTACTTTTGTCCTAGCTGATGTGGCTTCATTGGTTGGAGTGTCGTCCTGTAGATTGAAATGTCACAGGTTAGATTCCTGGTCAGGGCCCATGCCCAGGTTGTGGATTCAATCCCCAGTCAGGGCACATTGGAAGGGGTAACCAAGCAATGTTTCTCTCTAAAAACAATAAAAAAGTGCCCTTAGGTGAGGATAAAAAATTAAATGAAAAATAACAATGTTCATAATTACTACTCTTTGTAGGGGTTTTTTGTTGTTTTTTTTTTAGTTTAATGTATTTTAATAGCAAACTTACAGGAACAGCACAGAAGACAGACAACATTAAAAACATACTTGCATGTAGGACAACTCAAAAAAGTATAGTGAACAGATGGAATCTACTATATGATAAAAATGCTACAAACACCATTTAGTTGCCATCAATAAGAAATTTACTTGTTTTAAAAAAATCCAAATGCTGGCATTGTCCAGAAAAATTTAACAGGTTTATTTATATTGTTATAAAGTTGAACTGCTTGAAACTTGTTCAGTGAAATACCTTGACTTGCATTAATGCTTTATGTCCCCGCATTTATATTAAATAAATTCACACACAGGCCCTGGCTGGTGTAGCTCAGTGGATTGAGCACGGGCCTGCGAACCAGACAATCGCGGTTTGATTCCCAGTCAGGGCACATTCCTGGGTTGCAGGCCGGTTCCCTGTAGGCCAGTTCCCAGCAGGGGATGCACGAAAGGCAACCATACATTGATGTTTCTCTCCCTCTCTCCTTCCCTTTCCCTCTAAAGATAAATAAATAAAATATTAAAAACAGCAGTGCTTAATATTTAAAAAAAAAAAGAAATCTAAAAGTTCTTCGCAGCAGAGAAAGCATTTTAAAAAAAAATTCACACACAAATGAAAATGGGAAAACAGCCAATACCTGATTTCTGTCCCCTGTTTTCCACTTGCAATCATATACTTAGATATCTTTTTGACCCCATGGAAAAAAAATATCTAACGTTCAGAACTACCAATAACAGGAAGAAGAGAATTTTTTTTTTTTTAAAGAACGAAACGTTTCCCATCAGCATGGGTTCTTAAGCACGTTCCCCACGTATGCAGCGTGCTAGCTGGATGTCTTTTGGCATAATCATTACACGTTTGGTGTGGATAGCGCACAGGTTGGTGTCTTCAAAAAGGCCAACCAGGTAGGCTTCACTTGCCTCCTGCAAAGCACCAATAGCTGCACTCTGGAAGCACATATCTGATTTGAAGTCCTGAGCAATTTCTCGCACCAGACGCTGGAAGGGAAGTTTGCGAATCAGAAGTTCAGTGGACTTCTGATAACGTCTAATTTCACGAAGTGCCACAGTACGAGGCCTATAACGATGAGGTTTCTTCACCCCTCCAGTAGAGGTGCGCCACTCTTGCGAGGTGGCTTTGTTAGCCAGTTGCTTCCTCGGTGGTAAAGCACCGGTCGATTTGCGGGCAGTCTGCTTTGTACGAGCCATGGTATAGGGACCTCTTTACTTACCCCCTTTCTCCTTCGGCTGGAGCTCAGCGAGCTGGAGGAGGTGCTGGCGTTAGAGAGCGACGGCGGCAGTGAACACAATTCTTCATAGGGTTGTTTTGAGTATTATGAGTAAATACATATATAGCACTTAGAGTCTGTCACATAGGTGCTCAGTAAGTGTTCATTATCACTCTTATTACCATATATTTGTGGGGATATTTTATACACATACCTATATACACACTTGCATGCAGGTGCACACGAACACATACGCACACACCAGAAGGAGGCTTTTGTTTTTGAAAAGAAAACCACAAAGATTCTTTTCTAATTTTATATCAGTTAACTCTTAGCCCTTAAAATACTTTTCATACAAATCCATTTCAGAATATATAAATATGTGCCCTTACCATCAACTAGTATATTCTCCCACTCTGTCAAAACTACTAAATATGAGATTAGAAAATTTCTCTTAAATTAGCCAACTTGACCTTTCAGGTTATTAGTTTAATACTAGTGCCTATTATCCTAGCCACTTAAGTCTCAGAAAGTAATGGTTTGGTAAATTTAAATGAGAATTTTATCTTCGATTTCCAGTTCTAATGAGAAAATTACTTTAGGGGGTGATTGGGGAAGGTGTGCATCAGTTATTCAATTATAAGTTAGTTTCTATTCTAGAAAAATCATGTATAACTATTTAAAACAACAAAATTTTTCTTTATTCACGTAAGTTCATTGGTAGGCAGTTCAAGGGGATGGTAGACTAATGTTTACTTAGGATTTTAACATTCATCCAGATTTTAACATTAAGGATTAAATTTATATTTGTGATGAAATGGATCTGATTTTCCTATCTGTGAAATCCTTGTGTATAGGAATCAAATTATCCTATTTTGTACAGTAACTTGGAAATTCTTCTTGCTTTTAATTTTGTCTGACAAGTTCACATGTAATTGGGATAATCTGTTCTTTTAAAATTTGACACAACTCACCAGGAAAATGATCTATTTCTATTTTCTTTGGTGGACAATTTTAAATAAATGGTTTGATTTTTAAGTAGATATAGTGTTAATTATGCATTCGTTATTTTTCTTGAGTTAGTAAAGCTATATTTTTCTAGACATTTTTATTCCAGTTTTCAATATTATTGCCAAATAATTGTTCATAATTCCCTTTAAGTTCTGATTTATATGTAGATATTTTTCTCATTTTATTCATAATATTTTTGTTACTTTAGTATTCCCTTGATCAGTCTTGCTAGAGGTTGTTTGCTTCAGCTTTTTAAAAGAGAAATGACCCTTGAATTGTTAATCTTCATTTTATTAATTTCCTTTCCTATTTAATTTCTGCAGAGAATAAACCTGTCTCTGAGGGAGACAGGACATTGGTAAATTTCTTACCTGTTATTTTAACTACTCCTTCTTCATATCATCACCCATTCCCCACTCTTTGAACACCATGTACATCATACCTTCCTCAACAATATCTGGTGCTTCCAGTTCCTGAGCATGTAATTCTCTAAAGAGTATTTCTAGTTTCTCTGTGAAGGCCCTTAGGTTGTAGCTTTCTTCCTCTCTCATTCCTTTTCTCCTCTTTCACTTTTAGTTTTCAAAAAATAGGTTGAAATTTCTCATATCCTCATATCTTTTTTCCCTTCTCTTTGTTCCTATCAATATAACTTCTTAAATCTGTTATTCTTACTTTAGTGTTTGGAAAAGATGAGATAATTATGTATATGGTAAATGCACCATTTTTAACCTCAGACAATCAAATCATCTTGTTTCAAAATAGGCACTTACTGAACGTCTAAATACTATTCTTCTGGAAAAAGCAGAGACTGAACAACATTGTCTTTCTCTGAAGAAGGAAAATATTAAAATGAAGCAACAGTTTGAGGTAAGGCAATATTTTAATTTTTTAAATTAACTTATATAGCATGGTCATGAGTTTTAGAATTAAGACCTTAAAAGGCATCCGATCTGATTTTAACAATTTACAAGCAAGGAAACAAATTTATATTTAAAAAGAAAAATAACTGAAATCACTCAGCAACAGAGGCAGGGCTAACATTTCTTTATTGCATTGTTTAATCTTCCTTGTTAATGTCCTTCTTTAAAATAAAGGTGAAAAAAGCATTTCTTATATGAAAAAGTATTTATTTAGGCCTGGTTGATGTAGCTTAGTGGGTTGAGTGTGGGCTATGAACCAAAGGTTTGCTGGTTCAATGCCCAGTCAGGGCACATGCCTGGGTTGTGGGCTAGGTCCCCAGTAGGGGCCACGTGAGAGGCAACCACACATTGTTGTTTTTCTCCCTCTCTTACTCCTTCCCTTCTGTTCTATCTAAAAATAAATAAATAAAATCTTTTTTTTTAAAGTATTTAAGTAGGTTGATTCTTATAAACACTCTAAATACTATTATCCACTCAGTTCTAGAATATTCAATTGCCTCATAGGTCTGTGCAAATTTCTCCAAAAAGTCTTCTATTAATCTACTCAGGAGATAGTCTTAAAGCCTTGTGGCTTAAAACAACTTGTCCTAATTTGTACCTAATTTGTCCTTTTAAAAGGCAATTTAAAAAAATTTTGTCCTTGTCTGGTGGCTCAGTTGTTTTGAGTATTGTTCTGATACACCAAGGTTGTGAGCTCAATTCCTCCTCAGGCACAGAAGAGTCAGCCAGTGAGGGCATAAATGAATGGAATAACAAATTGATGTCTCTCTCTTTCTCTTCCTCCTTCCTTCCTTCCTTTTCTCTCATTATTTCTTCCCTTCCCTTTCTTCCCACCATCTCCCTTCCTCTCTCTCTCAAATAAGTTTCAAAAAAAATAAAAAATTTCCTAGTACAACATTAGTACTGCTGATATATACTGGCATACTTAATGTAGTCAGAGCCTAAATAGAATTCTCTGAATATAAATATCCTATTTCTCTGAGTACCTTTCTGCTCATTTCCCTTTCTCTCCTGCTAGCTTGTGGCTAATACTTTTCATGAGGGTTGTGGTTTCTTTAGTCTTCATTAAGTAATTTTTGTGCTTATTTTTATAATAGGATTCAGTAACTAAGATGGAAGATATGCACAAGGAGTTTGAGCAATCACAAAGAAACTGTATGAAGCAAATAGAAAATTTGAAAAATGAATTAATGGCAGTACATTTCAAACACAATGAAGATAAAACTAGACTGCAACAGGAATTAGAAGAAGCAAAAAAACAATTAGAGTTTTCAGAACAGTTTAAATATCAGAGTAACTATGAAGATAATGTTAAAAAAAGACAAGAGGTTCAGAAAATTAGGCCAGCCTATGAGGAGCAAATTTTATATCTGCAAAAACAATTAGAAGCTGCCACAAATGAAAAGGAGCAAGAAATTACTCATCTCCAAAATGTCATTGAGGCTAATTCTCAGCATTACCAAAAAGATATTAATAGTTTGCAAGAACAACTTCTGCATTTGAAAGCTGCACACCAAGAAGAGGTGAAAAAATTAATGTGCCAGATTTCAGCCTCTGCTGAACAACATGAAGCAGAAATAAATAATTTACACTGTCTAGAGGAGAACTTAGTTAAACAATGTGAGGCAAGTGAGAGGAACATGCAGGAGAAATATGAATGTGAATTAGAAAACTTGGGGAAAGCCTCAAATGCAAACCAAGAGAATCAGATATGTTCTTTGCTCTTACAGGAAGACACTTTTGTAGAACAAATAGTGAATGAAAAAGTCAAATACTTAGAAGAGACCTTAAAAGAACTAGAGTCTCAACATAATATCTTAAAAGATGAGGTAATTTATATGAATAATCTTAAATTAAAACTTGAAACTGAAGCCCAACGTATAAAGGATGAGTTTTTTCATGAACGGGAAGACTTAGAATTTAAAATTAATGAATTATTACTAGCTAAAGAAGAACAGAGCTGTGAAATTGAAAAATTAAAATCTGAGCTAGAAGATTCAAATAAACACTTTTGCTATACTGTAGAACAGCATAACAAAGAAATACAGAGTCTTCAGGAACAACATCAAAAAGAAATATCAGAACTACATGAGACATTTTTGTCAGATTCAGAAAAAGAAAAATTAACATTAATATTTGAAATACAGTGTCTTAAGGAGCAGTGTAAAAACCTACAGCAAGAAAAGCAAGAAGCAGTATTAAATTATGAGAGTTTGCGAGAGATTATGGAAATTTTACAAACAGAACTAGGGGAATCTGCTGGAAAAATAAGTCAAGAATTTGAATCCATGAAGCAACAACAAGCATCTGATGTTAATGAACTTCAGCAGAAGCTCAGAACTGCTTTTAATGAAAAAGATGCTCTTCTTGAAACTGTGAATCATCTCCAAAGAGAAAATGAGAAGTTATTATCACAAAAAGAACTTGTACCAGAACTTGAAAATGCCATAAAAAACCTTCAAGACAAGAACGAAGTGTATTTAGTTAGACTTAGTCAGAGAGAGTCCATGTTACAAGAATTTGAAGCAGAGAGAAGTTCTCTTACTGAAGAAAAAGATGATTTCATAAGTAAAATAAAAAATTCTCATAAAGAGATGGATGATCACATAAAATGTGAGAAGGAAAGAAGATTAATTATAGAACTTAAAGAGAAAGTACAGCAAATTACCCAGTACAACAGTGAGCTAGAGCATAAGGTAAATGAATTGACAGGAAGACTAGAAGAAACTTTAAAAGAAAATAATCAAAATAGCCAAAACCTAGAAAAACTTCTGGTTCAATTGAAAACTCTTTCTGAAGACCAGGAAGCACTGTCATCTGAAGTAAAGTCTCTTTATGAGGAAAACAATAGACTAAGTTCAGAAAAGAATCAGTTGAGTAGGGATTTAGAAGCTTTCCTGTCTCAAAAAGGACATTTTATGCTTAAGGAACACATTTCTGAATTAGAAAAGAAACTTCAGTTAACACTTGAGGAGCGAGATAATTTAAGTAAACAGTTTGAAAGTGAGCAAGTTCAGAAGTTATTTGTCATAACTCAGTTGTATGGCTTTCTTAAACAAATGGAGCCGGAAGTTTCAGAAGAAAATGAAGAGCAAGATGTTGCAAATATCCTACAAGCCATAGGTAAATCCTTAGCTAAAATAAAT